ATCGGGGAAAGTGTCGCTCTTTTTCCTCGGCCATTCATCGATTTTTTGGGGGGGGGGGGGGGATAAAAAATAATAAATCGAAGACAGAATTATCGTTCTTCGGAAAGTAGATGCAAATTTTTTTTTTTCAAATTCTTGTCTTCGGTTTTTTTTCGACCACCCGAAGGAAATGTTTTTGGTTGAAGATCGATGGAGAAGGAATCAATAATTTTATCTGTCAGGGTTTCATATAATTTTTAACAATTTGACATTTTAAGATTCGAATTTTCGCTGAAGTTCGAGAGGCTGTAATTCCGTATGTAAACGACGTTTCTTCATGTCAACTATTTTGTGCGAGTGATGTTCGAAAATGTTTTTCAATAAAGTATTGTACAGTACTTGGAAATTAAATTCTCTTCATGCTCGAGTTTGTGTAACGAAATTCGAAGCAAGCCGCTATTCATTTGCCAAGGGTTTTCTTACAATGTCGCCCCTGACTTGGGTAATTTATTGTTAAACAAAACGGAAATGTTGTCAAGATTGGAAAACATTTCTGGTTTTCGAGCTCCGGACGTTTGAAAATGAACCAAAGCGAGTTCTGAGGCCTTTTCATAAACTTCACGAGAGTTTCCCAGACGATGAAGAAAAACAGTGAAGGTAAAGTTCAAGTTAATCTAAACATTTCTCAAATAATTCGACTGAAACTCGCTTTTCCCTTATTTCGAACATTGAAAGTTGTGACAGAAAATCTGGTCTGAAAAGTTGTGTTCTTTGGTTTGAAATACTGTTTTTAGTAATGCGAGGTTGTTTTCCCGGGCAACCAAACCCGGGTTTTCGTGGGACTTCTCGGTGGGAAAAGGGGGACGAATGAATACGTGGGTCACGGGTCGGGGAAATTGCGATTTGAACGCGGTTGAGCTGATTTTCGCCGCGGAGGGATTTTAATTAAAGCCACGTGTATGTGTGTGTGTGTGTGTGTGTATGTGTGTTTCCTGTCTTCGTTTTCAACCGAGGACAGATTTTCAGTTGCGTTTCAAAACACGAAAGAGATGAAAAAAAAAGGTTAGGAGGAACGCGGGAAATCTTCGAAGTGCGGGAATTTCTCCCGCCGGGTTTAATTTCGGTCTTCTTGAGAACGTGAAGATGCTGAAAGTTTGAAGCACTTCATGAGTTTTCATTTTGTCAAATATTTAGTGTATGATTGTCCTTTTCTGTTGAATGGGAAACATTTTAATGACGATGTTTCTTTTTTTTTGCTTTGTTTTGTCAACAGTACCCGCCAGAGGATTTCGGCCAGGATTCTCCGCGCACTTACGCATCCCCGAAGCCTAATGTCTATGGCGACAACCACTACTTCGTTGGTGAGTCCTTCTTTTCATTTTTGCATTGTTCCATTTTGTCAATTGTGAGGGGGGTTCTGAATGTGACTGAGGATTCGCAGAGGTTGAGGTTAAATTTCCAGCCATTATTAGCTTGCAGCAGAAGTTCACTCTCATCTGAATTTTAGCAACATTCCTGAAAGGCCGTTTTCTCATTGGGTCTATAAAAGCAGATTATTTTTACAATAGAAAAAAAAATTAAGGAAGGAAAATTGATGCATCGTTTCTTTGCCTTTGTTCGGAAGCAATCGGCTTTGTAGAGATTATTTAGAATATTGTTGCTGTCAGTCCTAAAATATCTTGCCACATTCAGATGTCAAAAGGGAAAAGTTTAAACTTTAAGAATCTTTAAGGTTTGCTTTTTCCGCACCCTTTGCCATTTAGATTTCTTTAAAAAAATTATAATTGATGCGTTGAAGTTCGCAGTCGACTCTTTCTTTTTTTTTTTTTTTTGCCCCACTTATTAAATTTTAAAAGGATCTAGGTGCATACAATTTGAGTAGCTGAAAAAATTCGAGGATCTGACCGGCTTAGGCTTGTGGTATTTTTCAGTCATTTTTGCTATTTCTTCGTGTTTTTATTTTATTTTGAATTTACAGTTTTGCTTGATTAACCGATGATTGACGTTATCTTTCAACCTCTTTTTGCGTTGGCTTGAAAATTATTTCAAGATGAAATTAATCGTTGAAAGAAGTGTCTGACCAGGAATTGAAAGCCATTTACTAAATTAAAATTGCATTTTCGCGCAATTTTTTTTTTTTTAAGATGGAGGTGGTGGAGGACCAGGAGGAGGCGATCCATGGACGACACATGGACCGCCGGGGTTGGCGCCGGCGCCTGCGACGTACGCCACTTCGGCGTACCCTCCGGCACAACCCTACCCTACCACCATGTTGCAGGACCCACTGGTACGTTTATCTTCATCTTTTGATGCACCGAAAGTGCAGTATTCTAATATCCAAGTTTAATACTTGACCGATGATTTTTAATTTTTTTGCTGTTTTTTTTTTTTTTTTTGTTCTTCATCTTTTGATGCACCGAAAGTGCAGTATTTTAATTTCCAAGTTTAATACTTTACTTGACAGATGAGAAACTTTTTATTCTGTCGACAGGTGTACAGTGGGGAGGGAATGCTTCCGTCAATGTCGAGCTTCCGGGTGAGCGACGCGAGTCCCGGTGGCGGCGGAACTTCGCCGCCTTCGTCGTCGCTTAGTATCGCCGCCGCAGCCGCCGTTGCAGCGGCAGCAAACCCGTCCGCCGCCGCCAGTTGTTACCCGCCGTCCGTTGCCGCCCAGCCGCCGCAAGCGTCGCAGACCAGCGACGTGCTGAGCAAGGCACTCGTGAGTCTCGTTTTTATTTTGTGGAAATTATATTTTTAACTTACAGTATTTTATGCATTTTTAAAAATTTTCCAGGCACAAGGTTTCAATGATTGATTGTGTTGCACTTGGCAATGTAAGACACACTCATTTTCTCTGCTTGAATGAGTGTGTGTGTGTTTTTTTTTTAGATTCAAAGTTGAAGTACGGTATATTTTTGCTTCTGACTTAGAGAATAAAGTGAGTTGTAAGTGTTGTTCTATCAATTTAGACGACGTTTTCATTTCAAAATAGACGAGGTTTTAAATATTGAGGTGTTTCAGGAGGTTTAGAACTTCCGCTGGGGTAACTGCAACAATAATTATTAAGAGCAATAAACAGACTTTGCTGATTCTATTCAGATTGGAAGCAAGTGAAAGTAATTCTTATATTTGAGTGAAAATTCTGTAATTTACTGTATCAGAATTCCGAGCAGAGAAAGATTTTTTTTATCGCGCATATATATTTTTAGAAAGATTATTAGTTGAAACAATTCTGATCCATGATCATGCGAGATTTTTATTCTTGTGATTTTTCAATCTTAGTAAGCTTATACTGTCTAAGGAAAAAACGTTGGAAATTACGCGTTTTGGTCGAATGCAAAGGTTCAATTTTGTGAAGAATATTTGTTGCAATCGCGAATCGCTGTAAACGAATTTAGTCGGCACGCGCAATTATTTGCGGAATTTTCGAGGTCTTCGCTCACTTGCACAAAATTTCACAATAAATATTCCCTTTGGTGAGTTGTTAGAAAAAAGAAAACTATGCACGAGAGGGTGACCAAAAGTTTTTCTTCTTGAACATCTGGGCAAAATGATCGGGTTTCACGACTCGAGCTTGGATTCGGTACTTGAATTCTCAAACGGGAGAATCTTAATTTTTTCTTCCTCAAACCTAGACTGATTATTTGGGAAAACCGTGACAACGCATATTAGATTTCGATAGACTTGTCTCGAGATTTAATTATTGCCATCGTCGGGAAGGTAAAATTTCTGCTGCAGAAAAAGGCATAAATATTTCTCTCTCCCCCTCTTTGGGTTGCATCGTTTCCTTCGAAATCGCCGACCATGAAAAATACAGGGAGAAGACGAAAGCATTCACACGCAACGCATTGCGAGGAACAGCCGCCTTTTTTTCTTTCTCTCTCTATTTTTTTGGCTGTTCGTCAAAAAGGGGGCGCCCACGATCAGATTGCGTTCGTGGCATCTTGAAGCAGAAGTTGGTAAATAATTCGCCGAGTTGCTGAGTCTCACTGGGCCACAGAGGAAAAATGGGGAGGGGAGAGTATGAATTAATTGGCCGAAAGCGAGGTTTTTGTCCATCCGAGGTCAACGAATAATTCACGGTGACCCGCGTCCGCGAGGAAACAAACCTGTGCTCGGACGTTGAAAACCCCCCCCTCGCATTGTTTCGTGCTGGTGTCTGACCCAGGATACGTAATTAGCTGTGCTTCGTTTGCTGCTTAAATACAGCATTCTGTTGTCCGTTCGACTTTTGGGCTGACTATTTTTCTCTTCCACCTGAAAAAATTACGGAATGTATGATGAAAAAAAAGAAATGCTACCTTCGTAGTTGGTGTTTTTAAAGTTTTTCGTTGATCTGAGACATTTTTGAGATTATGTCTCAAGATTTTTTTTCGTGATGTGGATTTGAAACGAATAAGTTCCAAAGATTTAAATTCAAATAAATTCAAGTGTAAAATCAGGCACTGTTCAATTGACGAATTTTCAAAAATGAGACTTTTTTCAATGTGAGGAAATCCCATGTGGAAATCCAACGAAATGCCACCCCTGTTTTTATTGAATATTTCATTTTTTCGCTTCCTTGTCTATTTAAGACTTGAAAGATTCAGGGATTTTCTTGGAAATGCGACGATGCGTTGTAAAGAGTGCGCAAATAAAATAACCCTTGCTTGATCGATTTTCTAAAAGTTTTGAAGGTACTGTCCTTTTTTTTAAATGTCCCTTTCTTGATGATTATACAAGAATTAAATGGACAACTCATTTCAAATGTATTTCTATGATACCATGGTCATTCGAGAATTAAGAAGTTGTCATTGAAGTTGACTTCGAAATGGGTTCTTCAGCTTCATGTCCTGAAAAATCCGCAGAGTAAAAATAGGTTAACGTGAGTGGCACGATAATGAAAAATTTGTAAAATTGCGACAAACCTCAAAAAAAAATTAAATGCCTTTGAAGAAAGCAGATCATTTTTTACCATTTTGTCTCAGAAAATTTTAATTCAAGACATACCGTGTACAGTTCTAAAATTATAGTAGATTAAAAAATTAATCTAAAAAACCACGTTTTTCAAGTAAGACTAAAAAGCACAAAAAAATTTAGTAGATTAAAAAATTAATCTAAAAAACCACGTTTTGAAAAAGGAAAAAATAACCTTAAACGTGGTGCGCATCTATTTCATTTGTATTTCACTTCTTCCCAACAATCTTTGCATTGTCATCAGTTTCTAAGCTATCCTGAAAGTTTCAGCTTGCTAGCTAGTTGGGAAGTGAGCGAAATTTGAGTTTCAAAATTTGATCCGGACAAACAAACGGACAAGAAAGCAAGTTAATAAAAAGACGTGTTAAAAATGCCCCTTTCTTGTTGATTATACAACAATTAAATGGACAACTTATTTAAAATGTATGTCTATGATACCATGGTCATTTTAGAATTAAGAAGTTGTCATTGAAGTTGACTTTGAAATGGGTTCTTCAACTTCATGTCCTGGAAAATCCGCAGAGTAAAAATAGTTTAACGTGAGTGGGACGATAATGAACAATTTGTAAAATTGCGACGAACCTCGAGAAAAAAATTAAATGCCTTTGAAGAAAGCAGATATTTTTTACCATTTGGTCTCAGAAAATTTTAATTCAAGACATACCGTGTACAGTTTTTAAAATACAGTACATCTTCCGAGGGTAAATGCGGCAATAAAACTACTAAAATAACTCCGACATGTGAAAATTCAGTAAAAAATAAAAAAAGAATTAAACCATCTTGTTTAAGTAATAAGTAAACCCAACTAAAAATGGACACTTTTAAAACTGTATCTGAATATTATTTTGAAATTCACAGCAGTAATTCCGTTGCCTAAGTCAGCAAGATCAACATTAAACCTACGCGTTTGGCGAATATGTCATTCATTTATCGTTTACATGCGTCATTCGCGATAAAAATCAGTCTCTCATTAAAGGGCAAAAATCATCTCGTGGGTTGAATGATTTTTAAATGCATCCATGTGGCTTCGAAACCCTTCTTCCGGTGAATGGGACATGATCGGGTAAACAGATGATGATAATGAAGATGTTGCTTCGTGTGATGATGGATACGTGTATTGTTGAGAATGATCTCTTCATCTATTTTTAAGAAAAAACCGGGTTTTTTTTGCTTTCAAGATGTCCTTGGATTCCTTCGAAGCTCAAAGTTGAAGTGCGTAAAATTAGCATGTGAATAAATCGTGAGCATTTATGGACTCGATGTTGTGCTGTGAAACATCGCAAATTTTCACTTTTCGTAAAACTGGAGCAGTTTTTTTAGTAAACGATCTTCAAGTGTAAATTAAGTCCGAATGACAACACGTTGAACATTTGTGGATGCCAAAAAGTTATCAAATCGTGAATCATTTATGGCTCCATTCCAAAGATAAATAATTGGGACAAGTTTGATTGGCGTTTTTAATCGATATAACTTGGTAATTTTAACACGAATTGTAATTCGCTAACTGTTGAGGATTTCGTAGAATTGTCTTTAAATTGTGCTGAGACTTGTTTTAAGAATAGTTTGTTCCTTTGAAAAACAAAATTGAAGGGTTTTCTGATTACGAAATGGATATTATTTGAAATTTCAAGCAAAATCTGTGCTATTTTTCTAAAGCTGGCAAAAAATGCAGTACTGTATTTTCATAATCTCCGACTGATTTCAATAATTGATTTTTGCAAAAAATGTTGCAGATATACAGTGAAGGGGCGAATGGAGGAGGTGGGTTGTATGGGGCGCCACCGCCGCCTCCGGCACCCCCATCATCCGGCTCGACGACTGGCTCGTCGTCGCCGCCGCCGCCACCACCGCCGCAACAGCCGCCGTCCGCGCAGTGGGCGCATCCCGCCGCCACGCCGACCTCGCCGCCTTACGTCACGGCCGACCCCAGCAGACCCATTCCCCCGCACCTGGTGAGAGTCTTGAATTTTTTATTTAATTTTTATACTTGAAAAAAAAATGCACAACTTTAAAAACGTGTTTGTCAATTTTACTTTTTCTGCCACGTAAAAATTGCAAGCATCAGTACAGACAAGAATCACTAGACGCAACATTTCTGTAACGTATCCACCTTTTTTTTGTACTCGAAAAAACACAAAACTTTAAACAATTATGTCAATTTTATTTTCACCTCGTAAAGATTTCAAACTACAATCCCCACGTCAACTAGACACAACATTTTAGTTCAGTATTTTTAAGTAGCTCACATTCAAAAAAGTTGGACTGTCGAGTTCATCTTCCTGAGATTTGACGTGAATTAGACTAAGAACTTTTTGGTTCCACGTGTATCCGATTCCGGAGAGAAAAAAAATAAAAAAGAATCGGGGAAGGGGGTAGATAGTTCTATCTATTGAATATTTACGACTCCGACTTCCGGCTTAGGAAGAAAACTTTTTTTTTTCTCTCTCTGGTTGCCAACTTTTCTCTCCTCTGATTACCATAAAATAAGGTTCTGCTTCTCCGGCGATTATGCGTCGTAGTGGAAATGATACTGTTCTCCATTTCGATCGTAAAGTGTATCGGTTAATGGACTCACTCGTGTTCCAAAGATAAGTCCGTTATGCGAAGAAAATGGAAATATTCACGGACCTCTTTTTCGGATTATTTCATGAATTATCGCATTGAATAACAGAGAGAAGAAGAGAAAAAACACTGGGAAACAAGACTAAATTGGGTCCAGTTTTAAATTCACGATATTTTTTCCTGGTAATTCCTTGGGGGATGGTTTTCGAACTCATATAAGTTAATCTTGTAATCGATTGACTTCCTACATAAACGATTAAAATTTTAGTACTGTATCTCTATAGAAAAAAATCTATAATGCGAGTCATCTGGGGTCCGTTCGCCTTCTCCCCCATTTTTTCTTATTTTTATTTGATTTATTTTATCTGAACTTGAACTTCAATCCTTATCATCTTTGCTGAGGCTCTGAGTATGTTATGCTGAAAATAAAATCTTACTGTAGGGAAGAAGCCTCGCAACAAAAGCACACACATTGCAAAAGATGAAGAGTCCCGCCTGTCCCCACTTTTTTTTTGCCTTTGTCTTGAAACCCAGGCCTGGAGTAATATTGATGAGCTTCCCCACACTGGGACACATACGCGGGGAAGAGACGAGAAGAGGGGGAGAAATGAGCCGAGAAAAAGTTTTAATTTTTCCCACCCCTTCGCTCGGGTTTCTCTCTGCTTCCTTTGTGTTGGAAGGTTGTATATATGAAGAGAACAAAAAAAAAGAATGGTGTCAAATATAAAGAATTGGAAAAAAGGATAGATTGTGTGGAGAGAGGTGATGGAAATGCGGCTCCTGTGATGTAAGAAAGGGGGGGGGGATTCCTGAAACTTCTCGTTCACTGTTTAACAAGTCGTCACGCCTTGAATTTCTGCTGAATTTTTAGACGTGACGAAATGAAAGAGAATTTTGATTCCAACAGATTTTCGAGAACAGTCTGTGTTCAAAAAATTTTTTGGCTAGGATATTTCTGCACTGATTCAAGTCGTAATTTTTTTCCCGCTTCCTCGAGAGCGAAAAAAAAAATTAATGTACGGTTGGAAAGATCTTATTTTTGCATGAATCGCAATTTAAAATTTTGAGATCTTAGGCAACTGCTTCTCGGGGCATAAATAATTCAAATGCTTTTTATAAATTTGGAGCAATGTGGATTTGAAAGTACGGGGTGTTTAGACAAAGTCAGTAATGGGTTTTTATTTTTAGAGAAAAACTTATACATCTATTGCATTTTCTGAATTTGAAAAATTGCTCCACTAAGGGTCTATTAATTTATTCGCCAATTCCTGTAAAAAAAAAAACGTAATAATTAAGTGTTGAGTAGAGAACCTTGAAATCGAGTGGGTTCTTCTTCAAAGAAGAATTCCGTGATACCGATAACGCAATTTTTTTTAACTCTCGCCATTGCAATTTTTTAGCATTTCATTTTAGCCTTTCGAACATTAGCATCTTTTTTTTCGTAACGTAAGGAAAAACAGTCTGTACAAGCTCTTCTTATAATTTACGAAATCAAAATTTGGGTTGTCAGAACAGATCTTAAGAACCTTTTCTTTTTCCTGGAATATTCGTCGTTTGAAACACCGAATTTTAAAAATTGTTGGAATGGAAACTTTTTGAGCTGGGAATTTTGAGTTTTACGAAAAGCCGTGCGTTATTTTTCTTTTCCGTGGAAAATATACTGTACTCTTGTAAAAATAGGAGATGAGGAGAAAATGTCGTCGGAACGGGACGAGGATCGAATGCATTTCTTATTACCGATTCTCCGTTGTAAAAAGTCTACAGAGAAAAGGAAGGAAGGAAAAGAGGTGCGGAGACGGGGTTTTTTAATTCACCAGCTCGTCCTTTTCTTATTTCCTCGCCGAAAGCTGAAGAAAGCTGGCGAAGTTTTTCCTTCGAACGCGATTCTTCATCATCGTACATTCTTCTTCTTATTTTTTTTTTTTTTGTCCTCGTCAGCAGCTGTTGCCGTCGAGAAAAATTCTCGCTGTGAGGACGTCGACGGCGAAAAAGTCTCCATCCTTTTTTTTTCGGGCGAATTTCCGTCAATATCGTTGGATTTTGGGCCAAAAGGGGTTGCTTCATTTATTTGATGATGTTGACGTGGTAATGCGTCCATAAAGAAAGAATGCTGTTATTCATGCTCTCCTGTGGAAACAAGGTAGAAAACTAGATCGCAAAAATTTAAACCTCGAGGAAATGCTCCCTAAAATTTGTGACTTCATTTTTCTGCAGAGAAGAACTGAGTCGCGAAAATTTGAATTCCACGCCAATTTTTTGAACAATGACTTTACGAATTTTTTTATGCATTCCAGTGGTATCCTTGCATTATTCTGATTTACAGTTTTTAGATAATTTTAAACTAAAATTTCTGTGCCCAAAAATGTTTTTTTTTTTTTTTTTTTTACAAAAAATAGAAGTTGCAAAAATTCGTGTTCCTTGCACTGGTGTAAAAAATTTTCGGTTTACAGTGTTGCTGTTTTCAATGATAACTTTTGATTTCTGTCTAGACACAAAGGCAAATTCGCTAAAAAGAAATATCCGTTTTGGCATCCGTGTCTTTCTTTTCCTACAATTCAAAAAACGGCTCTCTCTCTCTCTCTCAAAAATAATCTCCGAGCGCAATTTGTGTTTCCTCTTGGCACGTCCCGATAAGCGACACGAAATTGCGAAACATGTAAAAGCAGGGAAACATCTTTTTTTATTTCTTCTACCAAGAAAGGATAATTGCAAAATCTGCGTCGACGACAACGACGTGGATTCGCCCTCCGAAGGGAAGCAGGTGCATCTCTTTCGTGTTTCCTCTTCTTGTTCAAAAAGGTTTTTCTGAAATAAAATCCCCGACAGAATAATTTTTTTTTTCTTCTTGAAAGAGGGGATGAACGTCGCACGCGACGGCGACCGACGACCGGAAGAAAATTACGGCGGAAAAAGCTGACCCCAGAATTTCAGTTATTTTTCCCTCTATCTCTCTTAATAATTTTTTTTCTCTTCTTGAAAGAGGGGATGAACGTCGCACGCGACGGCGACCGACGACCGGAAGAAAATTACGGCGGAAAAAGCTGACCCCAGAATTTCAGTTATTTTTCCCTCTATCTCTCTCTTTCTTTTTTTTTTCTTGGGAGCGTGAATAATCTGTAGACACGGGGAATGGGGGAAAAATAAATGCACGAAACAGGAGGAATGGCATATTTCTGGTCGAATTGTAAAAAAGAATGGAAAACAAATCCCTCGGGGGGTTTTATTTTATTTTATTTTCAAGAAGAACAGGGGGGGGGGAGAAGAACAAAATTGTGACAACCCCACGTCACCGCGGTTCCTGTCTAGATAAAATGTAGGAATGCGTGCGGGCGAACTGAACGTCAAGTTCATTCGGAAAGTTCCTAGAAATCATGCAAATGAATTTATATTTTATTTTTTATGTTCATTTGTTTCCCGTTGATGCAGTAATTGAAAATTTTTTGAGGCACAGATTTGTATGCAACTGAGCTCCGTAAAAATTGCGATCACAGTCAAGAAAATTTTGTTTGATTGGTATATTTTAATGGAAGTCCGTTGTTAGACGTTCGCGATTTTTTTTTTTTGGGAGAAAAATGCGGCGTGTACATGAATTTAAATGTAAATAAATTCAGCGACAGGTTTTCATCTTCGAAAAGCCTTAAAAAAGTGTCGGCAATTTCAAAATCCAAGCTACCGCATTAAATTAAAATTTATTCGAATTTATTTAGACAAGGTGATCAGTTTTGTTGGATATGCGAATGAATGTGCGTTAATTTTGAGAAAAATATTTTGCACCAGTTTCTTGAAGCTCAATTTTGTTTCCGGAAAAAGTTTACCTTTCAAAATCGCGTGTCTTGAAATGCCACTAATTTTTATTTTAATGTACAGAATATATATGGAATATTGTATAGCAAAAACTGTTGCTTCTTGAACAAGGTGCGGTATATTCTGTATCTTGAAAATAACTCAGGAATTTCTGGGTTTTCTAGAGCCAACTTCAGGTTCACCCCCCCTCAGGGTAAAAAGGTTGCCCCTTAAAATTTGTTCGCTTCTCCTGGAAAAAGAGAAAAACTAAAAACATTACACACACAAAAAAAAAAATGAAGGCAGTGGGATCCGTCGTCGTCGTCGTTGGTTTGGGCAGGTGTGTTCCAGGCAGTGTACAGGAAATGGGAAGAAGCAACGCCGGAGACCCGAGGGGAAAAGAATTACAATCACTGTCCGGAAGTTGAGTCCATAATCCAGCTCCAAATCTCTCTTTGCCGAAAAGAGAGAGAGAGATGGAAAAAATATTAATGCGGGATTGTGCCTCTGTCGAGTTGAAACTGGCGAGAACCGAACGTTTTCAAGAGATTTGTCTTCTACGATATTTTTATTTTCGGATCCCGTTCCACGAAGTGGTTCTTCGAAATTACCCCGACTTCCCCGGGAATGGCATTAATTTCAACCTATTTCGAAGTCAAAACGTTCACATTCGACTGGAGAAATGGCGAATTTTTGCAGAGAAAATCCGAAATTCCGTTCTAAAAAAAAGCGCGAATTTAATCTGGTAGTGGTGGAATATACTTTCAATTTAAGTTGCAACTTTTAGGAATTCTTTCAAATACACGTCAAACTATTTTTTTATTTTTTTTATTGCTAGAATTGAAAACTGTATTCTTTTTTTTTTTAATAAATATGCGCTTGAAAGCTTAATTTTTTTGACATTCTCGAGATACTCGTGAAGAAAATTAGACGGAGCAAACATTCGGCGACAATTAATTTCCTTCCTTGCTATTTCAGTGTCGGATTAATTTTGTACGGAGGCCGTGTAATTTAGCGGAACAAATTTAATTCTCGTGAAATTAGTAATCGGTTTTATGTGTGTATTAACCTCATTTTTCCTCGAAAGACGTTTTTAAAATGTTCTGCAAATTTTCCGCCTCACTTCGTAGTCAAAAATCAGTACGGCATGAAAAAAAAAATGTCCAAGGGGTCAAGGCGGTTAAAAGTTTGGGGCTGATAAAACGCTTGCTGGAGGCTCCTTTAATAAGGCCCTTTATTTTTTAATACGTGTGCCTTTTAACCCACTAAGCTCCCAGTTTTATGAAGGGATTCGTCCTCGGTTGACGTGGGGGGTGCGACATTTTTATCGGGGGGTTTTATATTCGACTTATGTCGAATCCTAATCCGGTTAATCTGAGAGATAAGCGAGGTTTGCAACGAGGGGGAAATTGAAATAACGTCAAGCGGAAGTGAGTGAGATAAGGCGCAAAAATGGTGGGGGGAAAGGGAAGGGAAAAATTGTCTGTTTTTCGCTCTCTTCATCATTTTATGAACTGCTGTACGAAAAAAATGTATATATATATATATATTTATAAAGAAAAAAAGGATGTCGACTTTCTGTCGTTAATTTTTTAAAGCTGCCAGTCGAGGCTTCGTTATAAATCTCGGTGCTTTTTTAATTAACATGGACCAAAAATATTCTAGGCGTTGTTCATCGTCCTCAATGAACTTTTTTCTCGACATGAAAAATGAGGAAAGTTGACATGAATTAATTATTGCGTCCCGAAATCGTCTTGCCTTTTGGTGAATTAGACTTTTTTTTAAATAATATTATTGCCTTTTCTTCACCGAAAAAAAAGTAAAGCACACAAATGAAGAAGGACCTGATTGATTGAAATTTTTTGTTGTTGGTAGAAATCCCCCGGTTAGAGTTTTGAAATGTTCTGGACCTGAGAACCCCCTTTTTTATAATTACTGTAGTATTTTTCTAGGAGCTAATTTTTGTAATTGAATTCTGCGACGAAGCCCCTCGTGAATTTTCTTTCAAATTAATATACTGTACTGTAAATGTACTTCCGTTACATAAATTACTGACTTTTGCAACAGCCTTCATTCTATGAAATGGTTTTGTTCAATTCTTTTTGAGTCTTGCTTCTTTATTTTCGACTTGATTCAGCGTCATCTTGTCCTTTTTCTTGGAATATTTAGAGACTTCTGTGGAATATTGCAACGAATGTGAAAATTTTAAGATTGTATCACATCGTGATAAAATTGCGAAAATATTTTTTTTCGCTGATTCGTGAAATTTTACGCGAGAAAAATCACATCGTTTATATCGGAATAAAATCATGAAATTCTGTTTTTTTTCTCCACTGAGGGGGGGAATTTTTTTTCGATGTCTGGGCGATTTTAGTTGAGAAATGGAAGGGATTGAGAGAAAATTGGGTCGGGTTGTTGTTGTTTCGCGGGTACACAGGCGTTGAAGCCACTGGGTCGCCTCCTTCTGACCCAGCAGACCAGTCCTGGGAAATACTTCCTCGCATTTTTTTCCCCCCCCATGAAACACGCCCCCGGAAATCCGGAAGTATGATGGGGGGAAGAGCCAACTCAGCGCTAGAAAATTACCTACGCGTTCCAAAAATAATTCCCACATTTTGTAAATTTTAGTATTGTGTCAGTAAATTAATTTTGTCCTTTTCATCTTGCTTTGGTTTAAACAAAAAAAAAAAAAAAAAAGTGAGCCTTGGTTTTCTTTGTACTGTATATGAAAAATGTGCGGAACTTTCCGCCAGTCTTTTATTTGGAAATAAATCGCAGACTTTTCTCGAGTAATGAAAATATTATGACAACGAAAAAACCTCAATAACTTCAAGTCGAAAACCTCCCAATGTCAAAATGTTTTCAATTCAATTTCCTTAGAAACTACCCAATGCATAAATTTTAAAAAGATTCCAAGCGTTAAAAGTACAGTACTTTATCAAGAAACTTTGTAATCTCAATCAAAAGTTCTGAATCTGTGTTTCCCATGCTCCGAAACATCATCAAAAAACAAAAAAAGTTGGATTGAGTTGAAGAGTTTAGAGCCAGAACATAAAAATATTTCGATGAAACTCGTTTGCGCAGATTTCAAGAAATCAACTCTGTTTTCCCTCGGAATTTTGCAGGACAAAAAAAAATCAATTTGCACATTATTCGATTGGCTTAAAATCTATCGTAGTAAATACCTTATGAACCGAAAAACATACTGTATGAGTATTTCTGCTCCAAACTAACGAAACTTGTCCAAAGTCAAGCATTCCCCCTAGCAACAAGCCAAAAAAATAACAGATTAAAATAAAATAAAAGGCACAGCGACA